GCCCCCGCCCCCTGAACTCCCATCTCTGGTCCTCATTAACCACGTTGGAATGAACTTACAAGTCATATATAGTCTTCCCTCTTTCTGCAGATTTCCCAAATACAGAAAATGGCCCTGAAGCTGCTAATAGGACTTGTTTTGTGGGGCTCCCCCCGCCCCCGCCCACGTTGGGGGCCATGTTCTTCACCTTTGTACTCGCCACAGGTTGTTCACCCCCCACCCACACTCCCATTTTATGGATGGGGAAACTGAGGCCCCAGAGTTTGTGCTAACTGTCCCAGGAAGCGCGTGTTGGGAATCCGAACCCAGGTTTGATCTACCGCAGTCTGTCATTCTCCATTTTTGCAGCCAGAGGCAATTTGGGGTGCGGTCAGGGCCTGTGGGGCCGTTCTGTCTCAGCTCCCACCGCTCTCCCCAGGGCTTTTCTCTCCCAAAGTTCTCAGCCCGGGCTGTGCTCTGAGGCCCCAGGGGAGCATGTTGGGGCGGGGGAGGGGGGGGATGAGGGTTGTCTCCTAGGATCTGGCTGGTGGGTAGGGGCCCAGGAACGTGCACGGAAGGGGCCTAAGGGTGCTCTCTTGCGGCGTGTGGACACCGACTCTGCAGGAGAACCGGCATCGGTGCCCGCAGACTGTCCTGGCAGATAAAGCGGATCTTTGTCAGTTTGTGACTTTGCTCCCGTCTGGATGTCCCTCTGGTGCACTTTGAGGCAAAGATCTCGGATAATGCCCTGCAGTGAGGTTTGGTAAGTGCCCGGCCTCGGGAGGACGCACGGCTGGCCTCTCCCGCAGCAGGAAACACCGCACCTGCCCATCCCAGGCGCCTCTGACCTCTGACCCCAGACCTGCCCCCTGGGCTGGGGCCCCGGTGACCCTGTGGTGTGGATCAGGAGGGCGTGAGATGCAGTGAGGAAGGCGGTGGCTTGGTCAGCTGGAGACCGGTGTCTGGGTCTGGTCCCACTGAGGAATCACGGTGTGACCCGGGCAAGTGGCTTGCACCATAAAAGTGACTCGCCCCAGATATGGGCTCAGTCGTGTGCCCTGTGTCCTTTGCTGCCTGCACTCGTTTTCATGGCGGGTTTGTCTGCACGTCTGGCTCCCGCTGGGAATCACCTCTGGGACGGCCTCTCCGTGCTTCCGGTCCTCTGTACCTCTACAGAGGTGGCACTGGCAGCACAGCCCTGCTGGGCCCTCGGGCGGCGGCCAGAAAGTTCCGTCCTGGGTTATTTGTTCAGACACAGTCCAGGCACTGCTGTGAAGGGACTTTGCAGATGAAATCAAGGCTTTCAGCCAGCTGACGTTAACGGATTGGCCAAGGGCCCCAGGACAATCACGTGGGCCCTTCAAAGCAGAAGAGGAAGAGGCAGAGAGATGCGCCCGAGGAGGTCAGAGAGCTTGAATCCCAAGAGAGACGGCCCACCGTCGCTGGCTTTGAGTGGCGGACTCCAGAAAGTGCGAATGCCCCAGCCGACAGCCACCCCATGGGGCTCCTGAGTTGGGTGGGGGGGGGGGCAGGTTCATTCTCAGGGCCTCCAGAAAGGAAGACCGTGTGGGTGACCCCTTGATGTTGGCCATGTGGGATGGGGAACAGGGGAGCCCGTCACCTCCACACGGACTTCTGACCTTGAGAACTATGAGATGATGTCTGTGTTGTCCTGAGCCCCTACCTGTGCGGCGATTCGTCACGCAGCAGGAGGAAACTCACCCAGCAGGT